AAAAGAAGGGAAAAAACAAGAAATGGCTCTCAGAGAAGAAATAACACCACAAATTCCAAAGTGAATATTTGTGTTATGCCAATGTGCTCCAAAGTACCACATGACCATGTTAGCACATTCTGTCAAACGAAGTTGAAGCCATCTATTGAATAGCAATGACAAATTACACAGGCAGACATGTTCCAGTGCTTAGTTTAAAGAATAYTGAGCTTTCTGAGGATCAGAATTAGAAGTGAAATAAAGCAAGTTCTTACTAAAATTTTAACTACATCTTCTGTTTGCTATGCCAAATATTGTCATATTATTTTCCACATGGACATTTAGACATGTTTCAGTTAATTGTACATTGGTGCACATGAAATAATTTTWAAAATATAACCAGGTATGTAACCTTTAAATAATTTTATCATTAACATGTGATTCATATTTCCTAAGTAGGACGTATTTGATGTGTTTCTTGTCATTTAACAACACATCAGTTCTAAGCAAAAATTATGAGATGATTTGAAATGATTTGTTCCACGGTGGAATTTTCAAAAAATCCTGTTGTCTTAAAGTGAGGAATGTAAACATTGACTGAGAATGTTTGTTTTAAGTGTTTCAAGAAAGCAGAAAATTATTTGTGCCTCTGGAAATGCAGTGAACATTTATCTAAGCTTATCTTTTGCAATACTCACTATTATCATCTATATTTCAAAGGTCAACTGTGGTGCAATTACACTCAAAGCTCAATTATTTTTCATTTATTTAACAAATGTGTATTCCAATTTACTATAGAACACACTTATTCGGGTACAGGTGATCATGTTGTGTGCAATACAGATAAAAGCAATGCTAACACAGAGTTCACATTCTGGCTGGAGATTATAAAACCCAAGAAAGCAAATATATACCAGGGGAGGTTGATAAGGACTAAAGAATGACTTAGGTTGAGGGGACAGTTTATTTGGTGAGCAGACGGTGACTCCTTTATGAAGGTGGTCAGGGAAGAACTCTATGACAAGGGAACATTACTTCCAAGACCTGAATGGAATGAGAGCATTCCATCCAAGGAACAGAAAGTACAAAGACCCTGAGGCTTGAACATGCTGGAAATTGAAATAGCAAGGAATTCATTTGGAATGAAGAGGATTGATTTACCATGGGAGTGACAAGAGAGGCCATAATTCAACTAAGGTCAAAAAAAATGAACAGCATTAATAATTCCAAAGAATTTGTAAAATGTACAGTATTAGTTCCAATAATTTTTAAATAATCTGAAAAATGGTACCAATATATGAATACATTTAAATGATTGTATTGTTTCTGCATTTGTCAGGTCCTCTGGCATTTATTGCCTCAAGAGTTACAGCATAAACATATTTGATGTATACAGTGACACAAACAAAAATATTAATTCAAGTGAGATGGCAGATTCATGTAGTGCTTGTTAAAATGTTCAAAGAAAGGGTACATACTTTTTAAATTAAATGTTCATTTATTCTGATTTGTTTATACATGATGGCAGAATGCAATTCATTCATATTACACACATAGAGTGTAATTTTTCAAGTCACTGATTGTACACAAAGTATTTTCACACCATTTGTGTCTTCATACATGTACTTAGGGTAATGATGTCCAACTCATTCCACCATCATTCCTATCCACTTGCCCCCTTCCTTCCCCTCCTTTCCCTTTTCCCTATCTAAAGTTCCTCCATTCCCCCCATGCTCTACCTCCCCCATCACCATTATGAGTCAGCTTCC